GGCACTTGAGGACAGTGTGTATCCTCCATTGTAATAGCTTCATGTTCGGTCTATGTCATAAGACTTGCCTTGTGCAGTTTTTAGACATCTCATCACTTACTTGTCAGTCACTTGACCTGTCTTGTACTGAAAGTGATGTATTAAATCTAGTGCTATCCGTGTGTTGTATGGGTCCTTACATTTTCTATTTTTGTTTCATAAAGGTAGTTGGTGTGATATTTGTGGGATATGTCTGTGTGGGTTGTAAGTTTAGCATTGAATTTTGTTGTCATATTTAATGCTTTTGACTTGAATTTCACTTTGTCTGATATCAGGATTTTTATCACAGCTCTTTTAGCATTCATTACCTGCATTACTTTTGTCCATTCGCTAAGTGGCCTCTCACTAAGGCCCCTCAACTGTGCTCCCCATGGCCTTCGCTCACCGTAGCCTGTGATAGAGCAGGTGTGTGAGCAGTTGTAGTCCTGGCACTTGTTAATTTTTCTCCCTCAACTCACAGTTCTGCCTTTAAGTAATGCAAGGGTGTGGTTTATGTGGGATTTTTATAGCTGTGAAGCTATTCCTTAGAGTTTAGGGATGAGCTTTTGGGAAAGTGATTACTATATAGCCAGCATGGTAATCAACCACCCAGGAGTCCATCCTTTTCCAATTTAATAATGCTATGAAATTATAAAAAAAAACCATAGCATTATTTTAAGGCTATGTAATATTTCAAGAAATACATGTATAATTGATTCACTCACTGGAATTAGAATTTTTTCAATTCAGTTAATGCCACAATTCATAATTCAGGCTTCCCTTTTATATTTAATAGGCTATACAATAAATATTTGTTAAATAAATGAAGAGAGGAACGAATAAAAGACTGTGGAGGATGGGATGGGCTGAGAACCCAGTTGGCAGATCGGATAGTGGTCTAAGGGATGGATGAGGCAAGATGACCCATCAAGAGTGGTCTAAAGTAGAAAAAGTTTCAAGCCCAAGTTGGAGTCATGACCTCAAAGGTCTGATGGGTCATAGAGATCATCATAAGTGGGAGACAAAGCCACAGTTTAGCAGCCAAGACAGATGGCAGAACTTCAACAAAGCCAGCCAGGAATAAACAAAGGGGATCCATCCAAGGCATTTGCTATGAACAGCATGGGGCCCTTGCCTAGTCATTGTAGGTCCATGACTCATGGTACATGGACGTGACAGATCGACCTGAAAAAACGGAATCAGGTATACCGAGGTCAAAAATCAATCAAATCAAATTTTAAATTTAAAAATTTATTGTGCATACAAAAAACAGTTCTCAAACCAGGAGACTTCAATTTGTGGTAAGAGGGAACTCAGGCACTATAGGCTGGTACATATATATATATGTGTGTGTGTGTGTGTGTGTGTGTGTGTGTGTACACACACACACACACATATACACATATGTATATATATATGGCAAAAATGAGGAGGTTGTTTAACCTTTACAATGATTGGTTATTACAGTCAGGTTTTCCAGATGGTTAAAAGTGGGTATCTGGCTGGGCATGGTGGCTCATGCCTGTAATCCCAGAACTTTGGGAGGCTGAGATGGGTGGATCACTTGAGGCCAGGAGTTCAAGACCAGCCTGGGCAACATGGCAAAACTCCATCTCCATTAAAAATACAAAAATCAGCCAGGAGTGGTAGTGGGCACTACTCAGGAGGCTGAGGCAGTAGAATCGCTTGAACCCAGGAGGCGGAGGTTGAAGTGGGTTGAGATCATGCCACTGTACGCCTGGGTGACAGAGCAAGACTCTGTCTCAAAAAATAAATAAATAAATAAGCCATCATCTTACAGCACTTTTGGAAGGCTACATAAGTTTTGCTTATGATTTTCAGGGGACATTTACTAGAAATAACCTAAGTTTCACTGGCATAGCATAACTAGCTTTGTCTGATCAGGGATTCTCAAGCCTGGCCTCTTATTTTATTTTAGTTTATTTAACACAAGTAAAGGTCATTAGTGCCAGGCTTATAAAGTGGAACTGTATAATACAAGATTGTACCACGGAAGTAGGAGAGCTAACAAGCACAGTTTTGTGCTTCCATTCCAGTCCTTTCTCTGTCCTCCCATATTTGCAACAGCAGAATATACGTTTCCTTTTTTTAAAGGACTTTGTGATATTTGTTTCTAAATGATTTTATTTTAAATTAAAGATACCCCGAGGAACAAAAAAAGTTGCTAATGAGACGCATTGTATGTATGTAAGGAAGAATTTGATGGTATTTTCACTAGAAAAATGCTTAAGTTAATTTCCCAAACTTAATTAATCAGATCACAAAACCATTAACTTTTTTTCTTTGTACCAAAGCCTCTCATTAAAAATGGTGCTGTACAGATAACTCTTTTCCTATCAACAAGGTAGAATTTGTATTTTATTTCTTAAAGACCTTGACGGCAAAAGATGATTACATCCTCAGCTCTAATCCATGTCCAATTAGAAAAACTGCTAGCATATTAATAAAAGTTAGAAATTAATTACAAACTCCATAACTATTGAAGAACAGTACACCTTCCTCTGAAGTGGAGAGCATATTTAAATTTGAATATGCAGTGTCTATTTTTAATAAAGTGAAGATGGGATTTTATTCACTGCTCTGCCTTAGCTCAAGCAGTTTCCTTTACCTGGAGAGGACTGTTCTTCCTTCATCAGGAAAGCATGAGCTCTTCCTTCCCTGCCACTTCAGGCATCGCCATCTCCGGACGCTGCTCTTAGCCTCGATGGATGGACCATGAATTCCTAGTCAAGACTCTCTCATGCTTGCTTCACAGCACTTAGCAAATTGTGAAACCAGGCTCACATGCTTTTCTTTTTAGTGGACCACGGAATCAAACTGCTACTCAGACTTACTATGAAACTAAACTTATTTGTTGAATATTTTATTGATGTAATAGCTATAGAAAAAAAGTGTCACTTAGTTCAACCCCTTAAAAATAAGGCCTCCTATAAGACAAGCCGCTGGTGAGCAAAACAATGAACTCTTACTGGATTAATTATTCCAATTATTTCTCAATTTGCAAGTCAGATAACTTCATAGTCACCATTAAATGCAAATCAGCATTTATATAATAAATACCTAGGCATATCAGTGACCTAGAAGAGGTAAAAGGAACTCTGAGTCTCAGATGGGGGAGAGAAACATACAAATACCAAAAAATAAAGTGAAGCTTTAAAAAGAAAAAGAGAGTAAAGAAAAGGAGATATGGCTGGGTGTGGTGGCTCAAGCCTGTAATCCCAGCACTTTGGGAGGCCGAGGCGGGTGGATCACGAAGTCAAGAGATCGAGACCATCCTGGTCAACATGGTGAAACCCCGTCTCTACTAAAAATACAAAAAATTAGCTGGGCATGGTGGCGCGTGCCTGTAATCCCAGCTACTCAGGAGGCTGAGGCAGGAGAACTGCTTGAACCCAGGAGGCGGAGGTTGTGGTGAGCCAAGATCGCACCATTGCACTCCAGCCTGGGTAACAAGAGCGAAACTCCGTCTCAAAAAAAAAAAAAAAGAAAGAAAGAAAAGGAGATATAATGTAGAGAAAAAAGCTTTATAACCGGAACTCTCACCAAAAATATTTATTTCTTTAAATGCTCACTGGAGAGTTTTAAATACAAATTAATAAAATTATATAAGAACAATTGGATGACCATGTCCAAAACTGATCAATGCATTAATAGAAAGGCTTTACTTAATTTCTACCAGGTATCCAAAAATTTTTACGAGAACTCTTAGGGTCAAAGGGACATGCACACAAAACTTACAAGATACAACTTATTTTCTCTACTTACTTATTATTTGTTTGTTTGTTTTTGTTTGTTTGAGATGGAGTCTCACTCTGGAGCCCAGGCGAGTGCACTGGGGCGATCTCGACTCACTGCAGCCTCCGCCTCCCGAGTTCTGGCGATTCTCCTGCCTTAGCCTCCTGGGTAGCTGGGATTACAGGCACACACCACCACACCCGGCTAATTTTTGTATTTTTAGTAGAGATGGGGTTTCTCCATGTTGGCCAGGCTGGTCTCAAATCCTGACCTCAGGTGATCAGTGCCCCTCGGCCTCCAAAAGTGCGAGAACTACAGGCGTGAGCCACAGCACCCAGCCTCAACTTATTACAGAAAGAGTATAAAGCTAACATACATTGGGGAACTCATGGTTTCTTAAGTAGATGATGAAGGCTGGGCTCTAGCGAGATGAATCCACGAGGCTGCCTGGGTTAGAAAGTGGAAGCATGAAAGAAGAATTGGGGAACACATATGTTGAGTGCCAAGTGTTCGTGACCTCACCCTCACCGCCTGAACGTCACAGCGTGAGCGGGCACCCACAAAACGCCTGCTGAATAGATGAAAGAGCTGGAAAGAAATGGGTCTAGAGCTCAGGTGAAGGGAGTAAGCTTGGACCCAAAAGTGAAACATAAGGCATGCCGGAAAAGACAAAAATGTCTTAGGGGAAGGGCAAAAACAGGAAGGTGTTCCTCCACAGTGATGACTGTTTTCCCTGTGGAGTCAGGGGCGAGCAGCTCTTCTGAGAACAATGGCAGAGAAGAGATTCGGAAATGATTCATCTGCCGGCTTAACTTTGACTGTTAAAGTGAGCCGTTTGTAAGATGGTCTTTCACAAATCTCACATTTCGGAATGCAAGATTCTTAGGTGCTTAATAACCAAAAGAATACAAGTTTAACCATGAATAGGAGAACTATTTGGGGCAAGTATTTAAAATCTTAAAGAAGCAGCTCTTAAATAATATATTTGTACATTTGTTGATATAGGTTAACATATATTTGACGTGAATTAATTTTAATAATACAATAGATTTAGACTTAAAAGTTGCAAAGTTTAATCACAGAGTCAATCAATATCCCTAGTGGTAACAAAAACCAAATCTTTAGTTATTTGATATTGTTCAGTGACATGGCATGTGTAAAATTAAAGATTTTCACACTGCTTGTAGTGAACAGTTTATAATAAACTGTTTTAATTAATTCTTCAGGTCCCAAAATGGTAGAAGTCCAGAGTCAACAGTTTCAGATCAACTCCAACAACGGCAAGCCACTGTTTACTGTGGATGAGAAGGAAGTTGTGGTTGGTACAGACAAACTTCGCGTAACTGGTATGTAGTAACGCGAGAAAAACACAACATCCTATAGAGCACACATCTGCAAAAACACACTGTACTATTGTCAAGCTTACGTGGAATCTTTCAAGCAGATAAGAAAAGAGAGTTTGAATGTATTTCATTTTCTCCATTGCATTTCTGTTGAATGACCTTGACGGATTTCTAGAAGAATGAAATCCTCTCCACAGATCTTGGCCCATTCTTCTTCCACCATAGTTTTACCCTTTGTCTCTTTCTTTCTTTCTTTCTTTCTTCTTTCTTTCTCTTTCTTTCCTTCTTTCTTTCTTTCTTCTTTCTTTCTTTTCTTTCTTTCTTTCTCTTTCTCTCTCTCTCTTTCTTTCTTTCTTTCTTTCTTTTTCTTTTTCTGTGACAGAGTCTTACTCTGTCACCCAGGCTGGAGTGCAATAGCTCAATCTGAGCTCACTGCAACCTCCACTTCCTGGGTACAAGCAATTCTCTTGCCTCAGCCTCCGGAGTAGCTGGAACTACAGGTGCCTGCCATGACACTTGGCTAGTTTTTGTATTTTTAGTAGAGGCAGAGTTTCTCCATGTTGGCCAGGCTGGTTTCAAACCCCTGACCTCAAATGATCCAACCACCTTGCCCTCCCAGAGTGCTGGGATTACAGGCAGGAACCACAGTGCTCGGCCACCCTTTGTCTTTTTCTAGTTGGAGTAACCCACAGACTTATCAAATGTCACTATCATCTGTGCAGTTCAAGTATCTGCTCCAAGTTTCTTCTATTCTCATCGTATCAGGTACTTGAATTCCTTATATTTCCACACAAAAAAATTCTCTCTCTCTTTTTTTTTTTTTTGATACAAGCTCTCACTGTGTTGCCCAGGCTGGAGTGCAGGGCACAATCTCGGCTCACTGCAACCTCCGCCTCCCACGTTCAAGCGATTCTCCTGCCTCAGCCTCCCAAGTAGCTGAGATTACAAGTGCATGCCACCACATCTGGCTAATTTTTGTATTTTTAGTAGAGACGAGGTTTCACCATGTTGGCCAGGTGGGTCAAGAACTCCTAACCTCAAATGAGCTGCCCATGTCGGCCTCCCAAAGTGCTGAGATTACAAGCATGAGTCACCACGCCGGGCCAAAAAAGCATTCTCTTTTTGAACTAAAAGTTGAACAGGGGTCTCATAGGACTCATTTTTAAGATTGGGAAGAGAAAACTTTATTAAAAACATTTTTTAGAACATATTCTAAATTCACTTGCTAAGCTTCTGTAAAGACTAGAAGACATAAGGAGACACTTGTTAAATCTATCCCAGTGCCTTTCAGCACTGCAGTGAAAACCAATAGCAATGTTATGGTCTCTCACAATACTGCCAATACTCCCAAATCAAAAAGAAAGAATGTTTCCTGGCAAAGGAAGTAGACCTCACCCTAATACAGGCCCTAACTAAACTGCATCCAGGAGCTGATGTTTTTAAAATGATTAACAAAATAGACAGCTAGCTAATGAAGAAAAGAGAAAAGAATCAAATAGATAGAATAAAATATGATAAAGGAGATATCACCACTGATCCCCCAGAAATGCAAACTACCATCAGAGAACACTATAAACACCTCTACACAAATAAGCTAGAAAATCCAAAAGAAATGGATAAATTCCTGGACACATACATCCTCCCAAGACTAAACCAGGAAGTAGTCGAATCCCTGAATAGACCAATAACAAGTGCTGAAATTGAGGCAGAGGAGGAGTTCGGGAGAAATTTGTCCCTCAGGTCAAAAAAACATTATGAAAGAGAAGGTGTTAACTGGTCTTTTAAAAGGATAACTTGAATGCATGTGCTAGAGCAGGGGGTCCCCTATCCCCAGGCCATAGACGGGTACTGGGGGATCAGTGGTGATATCTCCTTTATCATATTTTATTGTATCTATTTGATTCTTTTCTCTTTTCTTCATTAGTCTAGCTAGCAGTCTATTTTGTTAATCTTTTTTAAAAAATCAGCTCCTGGATGCAATGATTTTTTGAAGTGTTTTTCATGTTTTTGTCTCTTTTAGTTCTGCTCTGATTTTAGTTATTTCTTGTCTTCTGCTACTTTTGAATTTGTTTGCTCTTGCTTCTCTAGTTCTTTTCCTTGTGATCTTAGAGTGTCGATTTTAGATCTTTCCTGCTTTCACCTGTGGGCATTTAGAGCTATAAATTTCCCTCTAAATACTGCTTTAGTTGTGTCCCTGAGATTCTGGTACATTGTGTCTTTGTTCTCATTAGTGCCAAAGAACTTATTTATTTCTGCCTTAATTTCATTATTTACCCCAGAGCAGATTGTTCAGTTTCCATGTATTGTGTGGTTTGAGTGAGTTTCTTAATCCTGAGTCTAATTTGATTGCACTGTAGTCTGAGAGACTGTTATGATTTCCACCCTTTTGCATTTGCTGAGGAATGTTTTACTTCCAATTATGTGGTCAGTTTTAGAATACGTTCATGTAGTGCTGAGAAGAATGTATATTCTGTTGATTCTGGGTAAAGAATTCTGTAGATGTCTATTGGGTCTGCCTGGTCCAGAGCTGAGTTCAAGTCCTGAATGTCCTTGTTAATTTTCTGTCTCATTGATCTGTCTAATATTGACAGTGGGGTGCTAAAGTCTCCCACTATATTGTGTGGGAGTCTAACTCTCTTTGTAGGTCTCTAAGAACTTGCTTTCTTCATCTGGGTGCTCCTGTATTGGGTGCATATATATTTAGGATAGCTAGCTCTTCCTGTTGTTAGCTGTTCTTGTTGATCCCTTTACCATTATGTAATGCCCTTCTTTGTCTTTTTTGATCTTTGTTGGTTTTAAGTCTGTTTTACCAGAGACCAGGATTGCAACCTCTGCATTTTTTTATTGAGCCTATGTGTGTCTTTGCACGTGAAACGGGTCTCCTGAATACAGCACACTGATGGCTCTTGACTCTATTCAGTTTGCCGGTCTGTTCTCTTAATTGGTGTATTTAGCCCCTTTACATTTAAAGTTAATGTTGTTATGTGTGAATTTGATCTTGTCATTATGATGTTAGCTGGCTATTTTGCCCATTCATTGGTGTAGTTTCTTCATAGTGTCAATGGTCTTTACAATTTGGTGTGTTTTAACAGTGGCTGATACCAGCTTTTCCTTTCCATATTTAGTGCTTCCTTTGGGAGATCTTGTAAGGCAGGCCTGGCAGGTGACAAAATTTCTCAGCATTTGCTTGTCTGTAAAGGATTTTACTTCTCCTTCATTTATGAAGCTCAGTTTGGCTATATACGAAATTCTGTGTTGAAAATTGTTTTCTTTGGGAATGTTGAATATTGGCTCCCACTCTCTTCTGGCCTGTAGAGTTTCTATAGAGAGATCTGCTGTTAGTCTGATGGCCCTCCCTGGGTGGGTAACCTGACCTTTTTCTCTGGCTGTCCTTAACATTTTTTTCTTTTGTTTCAACCTTGGTGAATCTGACAATTATGTATCTTGGGGTTGTTCTTCCTAAGAAGTATCTTTGTGTTGTTCTCTGTATTTCCTGAATTTGAATGTTGGCCTGTGTTGCTAGGTTGGGGAAGTTCTCCTGGATAATATCCTGAAGAGTTTTCAAACTTTGTTCCATTCTCCCCATCACTTTCAGATACACCAATCAAACATAGTTGGTATTTTCACATAGTCCCATATTTCCTGGAGGCTTTGTTCATTCCTTTTCATGCTTTTTTCTCTCATCTTGTCTTCACACTTTATTTCATTAGGCTGATCTTCAATCTCTGATATCCTTTCTTCTGCTTGATCAAGTCAACTATTTATACTTATGTATGCTTCACAAAGTTCTTGTGCTGTGTTTTTCAGCTCCATCAGGTCACTTATGTTCTTCTCTAAACTGGTTATTTAAGTTAGCAATTCCTCTAACCTTTTTTTAAGGTTCTTAGCTTCCTTGTATTGGGTTAGAACATGCTCCTTTAGCTCCAAGGAGTTTGTTATTACCTACCTTCTGAAGCTCACTTCTGTCAATTCATCAATCTTATTCTCTATCCAGTTTTATTCCCTTGCTGGTGAGGAGTTGTTATCCTTTGAAGAAGAGTCATTCTGGTTTTTGGAATTTTCAGCCTTTTGTGCTGATTTGTCCTCATCTTCATGGATTTATCTACCTTTGGTCTTTGATGTTGGTGACCTTCAGATGGGATTTTCATGTAGATGTCCTTTTTGTTGACATTGATTCTATTCCTTTCTCTTTGTTAGTTTTCCTTCTAACAGTCAGACCCCTCTGCTGCATGTCTGCTGGAGTTTGCTGGAGGTCCACTCCAGACCCTGTTTGCCTGTATATCACCAGTGGAGGCTGCAGAATAGCAAAGATTGCTGCCTATTCCTTTCTCTGGAAGCTTTGGTCTAGAGAGGCACCTGCCAGATGCCAGAGCTCTCCTGTATGAGGGATCTGTTGACCCCTGCTGGGAGGTATCTTTCAGTCAGGAGACATGGGGGTCAGGGACACACTTGAGGAGGCAGTCTGTCCCTTAGTAGAGCATGAGTGCTGTACTGGGAGATCCATTGCTCTCCTCAGAGCCACCTGGTGGGAACGTTTAAGTCTGCTGACGCTGTGCCCACAGCTGCTCCTTCCCTCAGATGCTCTGTCCCAGGGAGATGGGAGTTTTATCTATAAGCCTCTGACTGGGGCTGCTGCCTTTCTTTCAGAGATGTCCTGCCCAGAAAAGAGGAATCTAGAGAGTCAGTCTAGCTACTGCAGCTTTGCCAAGTTCAAACTTCCCAGAAGCTTTATTTACACTGTGAGGGGAAAACTGCCAACTCAAGCCTCAGTAATGGTGGTTGCTTTTCCCCACCAAGCTTGAGCATCCCAGGTCAACTTCAGACTGCTCTGCTGGCAGTGAGAATTTTAAGCCACTGGATCTTAGCTTGCTGGGCTCCACTGGGGTGGGATCTGCTGAACTATACTGATTGGCTGCCTGGATTCAGCTCCCTTTCCAGGGGAGTGAACTATTCTCTCTCACTGGTGTTCCAGGTGCCACTGGGGTATGAAAAAAAACTCCTGCAACTAGCTTGGTGTCTGCCCAAACAGCTGCTCAGTTTTGTGCTTGACACCCAAGGGCCCTGGTGACGTAGGCACCCAAGGGAATCTCCTGGTCTGCAGTTTGTGAAGACCATGGGAAAAGCATAGTATCTGGACCAAATAGCACTGTTTTCACAGCACAGTCCCTCACTGCTCCCTTGGCTAGGGGAGGGAGTTCCCCTACCCCTTGTACTTCCTGGGTGAGGCAATGCACCACTCTGCTTTGGCTCACCCTCTGTGGGCTGCATCCACTGTCTAACCAGTACCAATGAGATGAGCCAGGTACATCAGTTGGAAATGCAGAAGTCACCTGCCTTCTGCATTGATCTCCCTGGGAGCTTCAGACCAGAGCTGTTCCTATTCAGCCATCTTGCCAGCCACTGCCAAACGACAATGGGTAACGTTTTGAGAATTAGACTGAGTTCCAATCCCAGCTGTTCCATGAGGTAAGCACATAACCTCAAATGAGTATTTCACCTCTCACTTCTTTATACTACAAAGATCTGCAGCCTCTGGTCTCTCACTGTTACAGGATCATATAAAGAATTCAACAAAGCAGACACAAATTGATTGTGAAATTAAATTGCACATCTTGCAAAAGATGTGAGGTTTCAGGAAGTCAGAAATGATGAGAAATACTGGAATAGCTGGCAAAGCCACTAACAAAAGACCAGGAAAGTTACACTTTCCAGCAAGTAAAGAAGTGAAAGTCAGCCATGATGGTGATGTGGTAGTCATTTCAAAGATCAGTAATCTTAACTTCACAAGATTAACATTCACCCTTGTGATGAATGGCTATGCCTTCAATTTAACTGTTAGAGTTGTCCCTCCATATCTTCAGGAAACATGTTCAAAGAGCCCCAGGGGATGCCTCAAATCACAGATAGTACTGAACCCTATATATGCTGTACTGTGCTTTTTCCTATACATACATGCATGCTGTGATAAAGTTTAGTTTATAAATGAGGCACAATAAGAGATTAACAACAATAGCACATAAGAAAATAAAACAGTTATAACAATACGCTGTAATAAAAGTTGTGTGAATGTGTTCTCTCGCTCTGTCTTAAAATATCTTATTTGACTGTCCTCACCCTTCTTGTGATGATGTGAAATGAGAAAATGCCTCTGTGAGAAGATGAGCCGAGGTGAATAATGCAGGACTGTAGATAGTGCTTAAGTTATGAATTGTTTATTTCCAGAATTTTCCATTTAATATTTTAGGACAGTGGCTAACTGAAACCTCACAGAGCGAAATTGCAGCAAGTGAAACTGTGATAAGGGGGACTATTAAATTATGGTTTTGTCACCAATGGCAAACATTTAGTAAACAATGTCCTATTGTCACACTAGGGTAGGCAGAGTTCCAAGGATTCTGCCACTGAGCCTTTCCTTCCCCTTTCAGTGTGGGTGGAATCTGTAAATAGGAGATGTCTCTCTGTGATTGTGTAATTTATATGGCAAAAGGAAGGTAATCTGGGTAGCCCAATCTAATCCCATGAGACCTTTTTAATCAGAGAAATTGGAAAAGCAAGAAAAATTCACTGCCCTGTTGCTGTAGGAAGAGAGAGGGACCATGTGACAAGGAGTGGTGGCCTCTAGAAAGTGCAAGAGGCCCTTGGCTGGCAGCAGGAGACGAGAAATGAACCTCAGTCTTGCAAGCATGAGGAACTGAACTCTGCCAACACCTGCATGAGAAGGGAGGCAGAGTCTGGCTCTGGGCTTCCAAACAACAGCCCTGCCTGGCTGACACCTGTGAGACCCTGATTACAGACGCTGGCCAGACATACTGGGTGGGACCTGAAACCAACAGAGCTGTTAGCCAACACATGGGGGTCGTTTTAAGTAGCTACATTTGCCATAATTCATAACACAGAAAAAGAAAACTAAATAGAGCCATCCTATAACTCCAACTATGTTTGAAAATGTTACACCAGAGAGAGATCCAAGATGGCCAATCGCTAACAGCTCGGGATTGTAGCTCCCAGCGAAAGCACAGAGAATGAGAGGACGCCACACTTTCAGATGAATTTCTGTCACTCACAGACCAGAAGATTTCCAGTGGAGGAGCCCCACGGGTCGCCAGTGTGACTCTTGTGGCCGGCACGGCGGTTTTGCTGGTGCCTCAGTGAAGCAGCTCTTGGTGCAGAGTAAACGGGACTGGTTCCCCTTGTGACCAACGTTTGGAGCTCCAGGAAGGCAGAGTCGCCTATTACAGACTCAAGCAGGAAGCCAGACCGGAAATTCCTGGGCAGAAGAGCACCATCAGTCTTAACACTGCTGTTTTGGCCGGCGCAGTGGGTTGCTCAGATTCTGGTGCTGGGAATCAATAAATTGGACATCCACACAGAAACCTAATTAGAAAGACGGTAATTGCAAAGACGACAGATGGATAAATTTATAACGAAGGGAAGAAACCAGCCTAAAAAGGCTGAGAATACCCAAAATGAGAATGCCTCTCCCTCTACAGGGGATTACAGTTCCTCATCAGCAACGGAACAAGACCTGATAGAGAAGGACTGTGTTCCATTAACAGAATTAGGCTTCAGAAGGTGGATGATAAGAAACTTCTGGGAGTTAAAAGAACTTGTTCTAACCCAATGTAAAGAAACTAAGAACTCTGAAAAAAGGGTTGATGAAATGCTAACAAGAATAGACAATATAGAGAAGAATATAAATGAATTAATGGAGTTGAAAAACACAACACAAGAACTTCGCAAAATATGCACAAGTTTTAATAGTTGAATTGATGAAGCTGAAGAAAGAATATCAGAGGTCGAAGACCAACTTAATGAAATAAAACAAGAAAACAAGAATAGAGAAAAAAGGATAAAAAGGAATGAGCAAAGTCTCCAAGAAATATGGGACTATGTGAAAAGACCTAATCTATGTTTGATAGGTGTACCTGAATGTGACGAAGAGAATGAATCCAAGCTGGAAAATACTCTTCAGGATATTATTCAGGAAAACTTTCCCAACCTAGCAAGGCAGGACAATATTCAACTCCAGGTAATATAGAGAACACCACAAAGATTTTCCTCGAGAAGAGCAACCCCAAGGCACATAATCGTTAGATTCACCAGGGTTGAAATGAAAGAGAAAATACTAAGGGCAGCCCGAGAGAAAGGTCAGGTTACCCACAAAGGGAAGTCTATCAGACTTAGAGCAGATCTCTCGGCAGAAACCCTATAATTCAGAAAAGAATGGGGGCCAATATTCAACATCCTTAAAGAAGAGAACTTTCAGCCCAGAATTTCATATCCAGCCAAACTAAGCTTCACAATGAAGGAAAAATAAATTTTTTTTTATGAACAAGCAAGTACTCAGAGATTTTATTACCAACAGACCTGCTTTACAAGAGCTTCTGAAAGAAGCATTACACGTAGAAAGGAACAACCAGTATTAGCCTTTCCAAAAATATACCAAAAAGTAAAGAGCATCAACATAATGAAGAATTTACATCAACAAATGGACAAAACAGCCAGCTAACATCAAATGGCAGTAATCCTAAATTTAAATCAACTAAATCCCTTAATCAAAAGATACAGCCAAAACCCAACGATATGCTGCATCCAGACCCATTTCACATGCAAGGATACAGAAAGACTCAAAACAAAGGGATGGAGGAAGATTTACCAACCAAATGGAGAGCAAAAATAAATAAATAAATAAAAAGCAGGAGTTGCAATTTTCGCCTCTGATAAAATAGATCTTAAAGCAACAAAGATATAATGGTAAAAGGATCAATGCAACAAGAAGAGCTAATGATCCTAAATATATACACAGCCAATACAGGAACACCCAGATACATAAGACCTATAAAGAGACTTAGACTTCCTAGACTCCCACACAATAATAGTGGGAGACTTCAACATCAATATTAGATAGATCAATGAGACAGAAAATTAATAAGGATATCCAAGACTTAAACTCAGATCCAGAACAAGTAAACTTAATAAACATTTATAGAGCTCTCCACTTTAAATACACAAAATATACATTCTTATCAGTATCACATCACACCTACTCATAGGTTTAAATGAAATATTGATCAGCCATTATTAAGCACAATTATTGGCATAAAAGAGGTTTTCAATACCCATTTTTAGAATGAAACAACATTCCTGTTTTCTCTCCCTCTTTTTCTTCCTCTGTCCTCCTCTCCTTCATTCCTTTTTTCTTTCTTTCTCTCCTTCTTTCTTAAAAAAAAGGAGAAATGCGCATTTCAAATCTAAATTACTTTCATATAAATTATTGAAATAAAGTGGTATACAAGAAAAAGACATTTTCTTTCTACCACATTCTGTCTTAAAAAAAAAAAAAAACAAAGAAAGAAAAAGTTACACCAAAAAACTTGACCTCTTTTTTTATTTCATATAATTTCATGGTGTTACAATTATGACCAGGTTTTGTTAAATGTAAACTATAATATGAATGTTTTTATAAGCTTTAATGCTTCAACACAAATTCCATTAAATCTTTTCTCCACAACCCTGTCTCTACTAAAAATATAAAATTAGCCAGACGTGGTGGCGCATGCCTGTAATTTCAGCTACTCAGGAGGCTGAGGCAGGAGAATCGCTTGAACCTGGGAGGCGGAGGTTGCAGTAAGCTGAGATGGCGCCATTGCACTCCAGCCTGGGCAAGAAAAGCGAAAACTCAGTCCACCCCACCAAAAAAAAAAACTTTTCTCCACTACCTGTGATAAAAGTCGGGTCCCTATTTTAAGCAGATTGACTCCAAGTAGCCTTTGGAGTTTCTCCGGTCAGCAAAAGCAACAGCAGTTGACAGCGAAGGAAAGAGAAGTGATAGGAAAAGAGACAGGCAGCCTCACTCTAAGGGACTGGAAAGAAAATCCAGTTCTTCACGCCGGGCGAGGTGGCTCACGCCTGTAATCCCAGCACTTTGGGAGGCCCAGGCGGGTGGATCACAAGGTCAAGAGATCAAGACCATCCTGGCCAACATGGTGAAACTCTGTCTCTACTAAAAACACAAAAATTAGCCAGTCATGGTGGCGCATGCCTGTAGTCCCAGCTACTCGGGAGGCTGAGGCAGGGGAATCACTTGAACCCAGGAGGTGGAGGTTGCAGTGAGCCGAGATCGAGCCATTGCACTCCAGCCTGGGTAGCAAGAGCGAAACTCCATCTTAAAAAAAAAAAAAAAAAAGAAAATCCAATTCTTCGCTTCTTTTCTACGCTCTTGTCACTTGCACAGCAGCCCACAGCTCTGGTGAAAGGACAAGGTAAAGTGGCCGTCTCCTTAAGACACTGCACCAAACTCCTCACTGCACCAAGAATTGCCATTCTTTGAGTAATTAGACAATAGCAATAGCAATTGTCTTAATTGCTCAAAAAGCTAAAACCTCTCTTTAATTCTTAAACAGCTTCCATTTAGACTTTAGTGATACTGAATAACAGTTTTTAATGAAATTTATGAAAGCTATTAAACTATTTCACCAGCTCAGTCTAAAACCAGTTTAGGCTTTTACGCAGGCTCGTCTTCCTCCCCGACAAAAAACAGAATTGGTCACCATGTGGCCACAGTTAAGGCTGCTTTTATTAACCCAACTTACAGAACATACTATTGGAATAACATCAAAATGTTGTCTTCAAAAAACTATTCTACACCATTGCCAGAACTGACTTCTGGCAGATGACGAATTGTTAGTTTGGTTGTCCTAAGTGTATTTTAGCTTCCTGGCAACAATTTGCTAGGCTCAGTCCATTTTCCAATATTACATTTAAAAACAGAGTTCTATAATCATATCCATTTCCCACCGCTAATGAGGAAAAGTAAGATCTAGCAATAGTCCCAATTCCATTTCTTTGTGCGTTCTGTGCAGCTAAGCAGGATCACATGAAGTCACAAGTGATAGTGTAGGAATGCTAGAGTCACCCATAAAGCCAGTGACAAAAATGGACCTGAAGAATGAAGTATTGAGCAACTGAAGAAGTGAAAATAAATAAGGATGTTAAGTCAAGTTCCCAGAAAAAGTCGTAAAGGTGCTTTTAGGAGCATCATAACACACATCCAAGGGCACAGAACACTCTGTGACACAGCACTGCACGCAGCCATCAACCCTGTGCCACCGTCAATGGTATTTCAGGTGAAAGGGACAAGAGACCCAATTAAAACAGGCTTAAACTGCAAGGACATATATTATCACACATAGGAAGGCTGGGGAAAGAGTAACCATAGATTGATTGCTTTAGTAGCCAAGTACTATGTTACACTACTTTTCTTTTCTTTGCAAGTATGTTGATATTTCCCTTTTTGGTTGCAAAATGATTCCATCAGTTGCAAACATCACTTCCTTCTGCAAAGACTTCTCTAAATATGTATCGATAAGGGTCTCATTGATTTGGCATCTTAAGTTACTCTCCAAGCCTAAATTGTCCTCATATTAAATTAAATTATTTGAATTTTTTTTGTATGTGGAATTTGGCTGGATTTACTTTTTATAACATAATTTATTTTGATTTTAGTGTGAATTTAAAACATTCACATTCATCATGATAACTGCTCTGTTTGGCTTATCTATGCCATATTATTTCATTATTTTTATTTTTTAATCTTACCAGATTTGAGTCTGAAAACAAGCCTGGTGTAAGGGGAGATAGAGAGGGACCAGATTATGCAGGGATTTGCTGACCATTGTAAGAATTTAGGATTTGTTTTAAATCAATGGGGAGGCCTTGAATTGTTTTGAACAGGGTAGTCCTTGATTCATTATACATCTTAAGATCAATTTAACCATTAAAAGGGAGATTGGAGGAAAGAACGGAAGCAGTACGACCATTTAGGAGGATGTCAATTGTAGTACAGGTAATCAACGAAGGTGACCTGGATTGGGTGGAAGCGGTGGTCAGAGAGGGGAAGGTGACCTGGATTGGGTGGAAGCGGTGGTCAGAGAGGGGAAGGTGACCTGGATTGGGTGGAAGCGGTGCTCAGAGAGGGGAAGGTGACCTGGATTGGGTGGAAGCGGTGCTCAGAGAGGGGAAGGTGACCTGGATTGGGTGGAAGCGGTGCTCAGAGAGGGGAAGGTGACCTGGATTGGGTGGAAGCGGTGCTCAGAGAGGGGAAGGTGACCTGGATTGGGTGGAAGCGGTGCTCAGAGAGGGGAAGGTGACCTGGATTGGGTGGAAGCGGTGCTCAGAGGGCAGTGAGTTGCTCCAGTTTA